CTAATGCCGGGGGCTTAAGTGGAGAGGAAATGTTTTGAGAATGATGAGGGCAATGAATGTACAATGCGTTTTACACAATTGGTGTATGTATGGATTGTGATAAGAGTTGTATGAGCCCCTAATAAAATGATTTTAAAAACCCAAAATGGTATACTGACTGTTCTGAAATTGATTGTGGTGATGATTGCACACATTTTCTTAATATGATTGAACAATTACATTTATGATATGTGACCAAACCAACTCACTGCTATTGAATTAATGTTAACTCATAGCCACCCCCTGTGGGTTTCTGAGACTGTTTCTCCTGAAGAGCTGCAAGTGGTTTCGAACTGTCAACTGTGAGGTTTGCAGCCTAATGTGTAACCAGACACTACCATGGTTCCCTATTGCATGTGAAGTATATAGCAATAAAACCAATTAAAAAAAAAAGAGGTGAGTCTTGGATAAACAAATGTTTAATTGATCAGAAATTCATGCTGAAGGAGTTAGACATATATGTTTGTCAAATTAAAAGCACAAGTGTAAGCTCAGATGAGTCAGGGATAGTACTGGAATGAGCATGAGTGAGAAAGAAGTTGTTCTAACCAACACAATTGAATTAATGCCATTAATGGATTTTTCTTCCCATTAAAGATCATTCTAAGAAATATCAAGTATAAAAAAGCAATTATGTTTGCTGGTCATTTGTGATTCCTAATTGGAATTGACAATTGAGAAATTCTGCCATAATTTTAATGAATTTTTTTCAAATACCTATATTAATATGATAGCATAAAAAAGTTTTTTAAAGTATATATAACCCAATATTAAACATTTCTTTCACAAAATGAAATTACATATGTGGGAACGGTTTTTCAAATGTTGACTTTTTTCCCACCAAAGGAAACTGAATAGTAATGAAAGTTCTCTATCATTTTGTTTTCCTTTTTTAGGGTCTGCATTTGCTAAGGCCAAGCCTGAAAGCCCATGGACTTCTCTGACCAGAAAGGGAATTGTTCGAGTTGTGTTTTTTCCCTTTTTCTTCCGGTGGTGGTTACAAGTAACATCAAAGGTCATCTTTTTCTGGCTTCTTGTTCTTTATCTTCTCCAAGGTATACCCAAGCATTGGAAATGCATTTGACTTTTAAGTTTAATAATGCTACATTTTCAGGGTTTCTAAGGAATTATTAAAAATATGTATATATTAACTGCTACTGAGTAGGATGAAATATATTTATAGTGATACTTGACTTAATTAGACAAAAAAGTGGTATAAAGTTTGAGAAGTCAACGCAATTATTTTCTGACAATTTTATGAACATTTGAAGTTATAGATAGCTAAAAAAAATAGTAATTGAGAGTACTTTTTAAAAAAAAACACTTACTTAATATATATCCCACACATATGCATATACCACTCTTCTTTTATAGAATTGTTCAAGGCCATTTTTCCTGGTTCAGACATGTTTTGTTTTTCCTGTGTTTTTCCGTACTGATCTGAGATTTTGCTCATTTCAAAATGAAATTCTGTGTACTATCGGGTCTGAGAATATTCACAAATTACTATATAATTATAAAAACAATATAATGAAGTATATTGTGTGTTGATAAGGTAATTCTAACTAATAGCAAACTTTTAGGATAGAGTGGATCACTCCTGTATTGTGTCAAGGCTATAATTCTTATAGGAGTAGATTGCCAGCTCTTTTTTTTTTTTAAGTAACAAATTTCTTTTTTTTAATCGTTTTATTGGGGGCTTATACAACTCGTCACAGTCCACACATACATTTATTGTATAAAGCATATTTGTGCATTCTTTACCCTCATAATTCTCAAAACATTGTTCTCCGCATAAGCCCCTGGCATCAGCTCCTCATTTTCCCCCTTCCTCCCCTCTCTCCACTCCCTCATGAACCCTCCTTCATGAATCTTACACTGTCCGACATCTCCCTTCACCCACTTTTCTGTTGTACATCCCCCAGGGAAGAGGTTATATGTAGATCCTTGTAATCAGTTCCCCCTTTCCACCCTACCCTCCCAATTTCGCCTTTGTCGCCACTGGCCCTGAAGGGATCATCCATCCTGGATTCCCTTTGTTTCCAGTTCCTATCTGTACTGGTGTACATCATCCTCTGGTCTAGCCAGCTTTGTAAAGTAGAATTGGGATCATGATAGTATGTGGGGGGAAGAAGCATTGAGGAACTAGAGGAAAGTTGTATGTTTCATCGTTGCTACATTGCACCCTGACTGGCCCATTTCCTCCCGTGACCCTTCCAAAAGGGGATGTCCAGTCGCCTACAGATGGGCTTTGGGTCCCCACTCCGCACTCCCCTTCATTCACAAGTCAGCTCTTTTCTCTAAAGAGTGTCTGGTGGGTTCAAACTACTGACCTTTCAGATAGGAATCAGGTAATTAACCATTGCACTCACTCATGGAACTGAAGCAGACTCATAGCAACCCTAGAAGACAGGATAGATCTGCCCATGTGGGTTTCTGGGACTTAACTCTTTAGAAGAATAGAAAGCCTTGACTTTCTAGATCAGAGCAAAGGATAGTTTTGAACTGCTTACCTTGCAGTTAGTAGCCCAAAGTCTTAAGCCCTATCCCACTATAAAGAAGTATAGGAACTGTTGTTCTATCTAGCTTACAGATATGCGATCAGAAGGCCCTGAGGGCCAAACACTAACCTCTGCAATGTGGTAGAGCCCAGATGCCAGTCTAAGCAGTCTGCAGAGCAACACACTTAACAGCTCTGTAATGCTATCTCCTGGCCCCAGCCCTGTTAGCAGCACTTCATTACACCACAGAGCATTTGGAGACCAAAGAAATGACTCACATTGCATTACTTTAGCAAAACAACTATTTTAATTTGATTGATATTGTTCCAAGTATTTTAATGTTAAATGTTGTACTCTTAACAGTGCAGTCCCAAATGATTATTTCAATATGCATGCCAACAGAACTTTTAAGGAAAAGATAATATCTCTCTGAAGTTCATGATAATAAAAGCTGCAATCTTTTATTTAGGCAAAGTTGTTTCGTCTCAGCCAAAATACATCTTATATACCGTATATAATCGTGTATAAGCTGAGTTTTTCAGCCCATTTTAAATTCAGTTTTTATGGTAAAATTAGGTGCCCTGGCTGATATATGGGTCGGCTTATGCTTAAGTATATACAGTACATAGGAGGAGATGTGGACTATGAGGATTTCGTGCTTGTTAATAGAGCGTGGCTTTATTTTTTACTATTAAAGAAATGATACAAATTCATCACAGAAATTTTTGAATCATTTTCTTATGCTTGAGATTCAGTGTCATAACACTTCCAAGGGCCTTCATATGTCTTTTCTCAATGTTTTGTACATGTGTTGCATGTTAACCGATAACAACACTGAAGCTCTTCTAATTGTTTTTTAAAAGTTGGCCCCACTGTTGTTCAGCAGTGCCATTACATGACCCTTCCTCCTTAGGTTTATTTTTAGGTGTAGTTCATAATTTTCATTGGGTTATTATTCGCTTGGTTGTTTTTTTTTTTAATTTGGGTTTGTTTGTTTTTTTAACCCCCAAAATAGTTTTCTAACTCACTGCCATCAAGTAAGCAAAGATTTTATTTTGAGGATTAAGGTGTGCCTAGCCCAAGCCACAGTATTTTCAGTCACCTCATCTGTGAAAGCAGGACAATACATCAAGATGACTGAAGAACTGATAACTTTGAATTATAGTGAGAATGGCACACTCACTCTATTGAGGATGAAAAGGAGCCCTGGTGGTGTAGTGGCTATGCATTGCTCTAAGGGAATAAGATGAGGCTTTCTACTTCTATAAAGAGTGACAATCTTGGAAACCTACAGCGGCAGTTCTTCACTCTCCAGTAGGGTTGTTCTGAGTTAGAACTGACTCGACAGTGAGTTTTTTGCATTGAGCACCCCATAAACTGCCAGAAGATTATCATATTTATCTTGGAACAAGTACAATCAGGATGCTCCTTAACTGTGAGACTGTTCAGACTCCATCACACGTACTTTGGACATGTGATCACCAGGCCCTTGAGAAGGACATCATGCGAAAAAAGAGCCCTTCAAGGAGATAAATCCACACAATAGCAGCAGCAGTGGGCTCAAACATATCATGGATCATGAGGACGGCGCAAGACCCGTACCTGTTTCATTCTGATGTACATAGGGTGGTTTTGCATTGACACCGACTCAGTGGCATGTAACTACTGAAGGTGAACAAGTTCCCAATGGAACTCAATTTTTACTGGTGTAAAAAAAATAATTACACTTTGTCTGCAATTCATATAGTGTCTTACCCTAAGTTAAATAGCAAACACCCCTTACATCAGGCTTGGAAATGAGGTGTTTTTTGGTTAAAAACCAAAATTGAACATCATGAGGTGTTACGGTGAACACTTCTGATGAATACTGAAGATTATTTTAATAAACTTGGAGAAATGAATTAGCCTGCTCAAAATCATATTAGTTTACTTTTTGTTTTGTTTTGAGGAAAACAGCATGGGGTCCCCATTTGACCTCTGGCTTCCAAGGCTGATTGCCACAGGCAGAGGTCAGATATACCTCCACTCTCCAACCCTACCCTACTCTGACACCAACCATCCCTCCCACAGCACTCTGCTTCTGTGACTAGGTTCCATAATCAATTGCATTAGCCACACAGGCACTCTCAGACAATACTCAATGATTTTGCATGTACTATGTAAATTCACCAGTTACAATTCAGGTGAGAAATACTCAGGACATAGATCAGTCAGGACAGTTTCTTCTCTGCTGTGTCTGCAGGCAGGTCTCTCTCTGGCTGTCAGCCTCTTGGCTTGGCCTGTACCCCATTCAAGCAATTTATAAAGCTCTTTTAAGGCTGCCAATAAATGCCCAAAGTGCATGTCACTTCCCTATAAGTCTCAACCCAAAGGCACTCAGCAAACCCAGCTACCTTCATGAAGTGTCCAGAGGCGTCCCACTGCCAAGTCAGCCTCTTGCCCCAAAGTGCTTTACTTTTCTTGCACAAAGCAATGTGTCCCTTTGGCGGAGATGGGCTGCTCTGTCTCATTCTCTGGTTCGGAGTCTCCTGGACTAAGGAGGTTCATTTCACTGCTATCTCAGAATCCAAACGATGTGTTCCACTTCTCACTCTCTTCTCTTGCTGGTAGTGAGATTCCTACCCATAACCCACTACACCACCAGGGCTCCTTTACATTACTGCTAAGAGTCCTTTTAAATTACAAATCCAAACGATATCTTAAGCTTTACATTTCTTCGGTATTTATCATTGTCTTCAAGATAGCAGGCCAACTTTTCAATCATGAAGTATAAAATTCTCTCCCTCTGCCCTCCATCTTAGCTGATCAAAATTAGCTCTTGACTGGTTTTTGTGCATTCTGCCCTTTTTTCGCTTGTAGGCCTTTGGCCATGCAATTTACTGTCTCTGCATAGCTGTTTTCTCTTTTACTTCATCAAGTAAGGCTGGGTCCCCACCCCATGCCAGATTTAGATATCACCTTTTTTGAGTATCCTCTTTTTTTCTTTTAAAAAAAATAATTAAATCATTTTATTGGGGGCTTGTACAACTCTTATCTCAATCCACACATATATCCATCATGTCAAGCACTTTTGTACATTTGTTTCCCTCATCCTCAAAATACTTGCTTTCTGCTTGAGCCCTTGGTATCAGCTCCTCATTTTTCCCCTCCCTCTCCATTCCCCCTCCCCCATGAACCCTTGATAATTTATAAATTATTGTTATTTTGTCATATCTTACATCATCTGACATCTCCCTTTACCCATTTCTCAGCTGTCTGTCCTCCAGGGAGGAGGTTATATGTAGATCCTTGTAATCTGTTCCCCCTTTCTCTCTCACCTTCCCTCCACCTTCTTGGTATCACCACTGGTCCTGAGGGGTTCATCTGTCCTGAATTCCTGTGTTTCCAGTTCCTATCTTTACTAGTAACTTCCTCTGGTCCAGACGGATTTGTAAGGTAGAATTGGGATCAGGATAGTGAGAGGAGGGGTGGCGGGCGGAGGAAGCATTCAAGAACTAGAGAAAAATTGTATGTTTCATCATTGCTACACTACACCCTGACTGGCTCGTCTCCTC